GGCCTTGAACTCACTTTGTAGCCCAGGCTGGCCTCAAACTCGCAGTGATCCTCCCCCTTTAGCCTCCTGAGTGCTGGGATGACAGGTGTGCGCCAGCACGCCTGGCTTACAACCTTAAATTATAAACTTGACAATTTAAAATAGACGAATTCTTTAAAAATAGACAAACTCTTTAAAAATAGACAAATTCTTTGAAAATAGACAAATTCTTTAAAAATGAAACTTGCTGAATCTAAGGTAAAATAGTATTAAAAATCTGAACTGTCCTATACCTATTAAAGAAATTGAAATTATTGTTTTTAAAAAAACCCAAAGGCCCAAATAATGTCACAGTTGAATTTTACCAAACATTTAAGAGGAAATAAAATTAATCTTACACAATTCCAGAAAATAAAGGAGGAGGGAATGCTACCAAACTCTAATATCTAAACGTAACAAAGATGTTAAAGAAAATCACAGGCCGAAATCATTCAGGAATATAGACGCAAAGCTCTTTCATAAATCTTAGCAACTGGATCCAGCAATACGTAAAATAGAAACTACCTCATGAACAAGCAAGGGTTGATGTTAGCAGTGTAGGGTTTGTCTCAGGAGTGGAATAATATAATCACCCAAACTGACAAAACAGGTGTGGGAGAAGCACACTTTGAATAGCAGCTAGACAACTAGCTAAACATGAGTCAGCCAGAGAAGATCTTGCAACAGGTGCAGAAAAAGTATTTGACAAATTTCTACATTTATTCATGACTAAAAAAAAAAAAAACCCTACCTCTCAGCAAATTAGAAATACAAGGGACCTTCTTAGGCCCTGGAAAGCCTACAGTTAAAATAATGATTCCCGGTGAAATACTGAGTATTGTCTTCCTGAGACCGGGAATGGGGCAGGATGTGCACGGCCATCCCGTCTGTCGTTTGTACTAGCAGTGCCAGGTGGTGCAATAACAAGAGAAGACGTTAAAGGATAAAGGTCAGAAAGGAAGATGTAAAACTCTCAGTTTTCAGCTACCATCATGCTTTATCTTGAAAATCCTATGGACTATTTAGATTAGGAAAACTAAGTTAATTTAGTAAGATCCCAGCATAAGGTTATTGCTCAAAAACCAGTGCTATGTTTGTATGCTAGCTTTAAACAGTTAGAAAGGAAGAGATCAGTTTCATTTATAATAGCATCATAAGGCATATAACATTTAGGAATAAATTAATAAAAGCCATGCTGAATCTCCACACAAAAGTTATAAAACACTGCTGGGTAAAGTTAAAGGTGACCTGGACCCTGTAAGTGGAGGGGGAGGGGCAGATCCATGGCTGAAAGACTCGGTATCATCAAGACACAAACTGATCTGCAGACAGAATGCAGTTCCCATCACAGTCCTTCCAAGGCTTTGAAAAATAAATAGTTTATTCTAAAGTTTATATGGTAATGAAAAGGAGCTAAGGTAGCCAAAGTAGTATTCAGAAGAAGAGCAAAATGGTAGGATTTATACTAGCTGACTTCCAGGCTTGCTAGAAAACACAGAGACACCATGGTGCAGGTAGAGTGGTAGTAAATCACTGGATCAGAGTGAAGGCCAAGGGCCAGAGGCATAGCTCAGCAGTGCAGCGCTTGCCCGGCAAGCGTGAGCTCGTGAGTTCCGTTCCCAGTACCAAAAAATAAATAAAATAAAATAAAGGCCAAAAGTCAAACCATACTCTTCGTTTAATTTTTGACAAAGGGAGGAAAGCAATTCAATGGAGGAAAGTCTCAACAAATGGCCTTGGGACAACTGACTGTCCATGTGGAAACTAAAAAACCTCAGCTTCTGCTTTGCTCAGTGCGGATCAGGGACCAAAACAGAAAAGCTGAAAACTATGGAGCTTGTAGAAGAAAACAGGAGATTGTCTTTACAACTTGGAGATGACCAAGTTTTCTTAAATAAGAAGGGGAAAACAAAATCATTTTAAAATGGATATATTAGACTTCAAAATTTAAATTTTTTGAGTATCAGGAGACACCATTGCCAGGCGCGGTGGAGCATGCCTGTAATCCCAGCACTCGGGAGGCTGAGGCAGGAGGATCACTGCAAGTTCGAGGCCATCCTAGACTAGGTAGTGAACTCAAGCCCAGCCTGAACTACACAGTGAGACCATCTCAAAAAAAGTGACCAAAGAGGCTGGGGATTTAGCTCAGCGGCACAGCGCCTGCCTGGCAAGCGCAAGGTCGCTTCCCGGCAACAGAAAAAAAAAAGTGACCAAAAAAAAAACACCATTAAGAAAATTAATAAGCAAACCGCAAACTAGGAGAAAGTACTACCTAGATGTATATCTGACAAAGGACTATTAGTTAGGCTCAGTGGTCCACACCTGTAATCCCAGCTACTAGGGCAGGAGGGTCACAAGTGTGAGTCCACAGTGGGCAATTTAGTGCAACTGTATCTTGAATAAAAAGGCGGGAGATGTAGCTCAGTGGTAGAGCATCCCCAGTACCACAAAAGTGTACAACCCCAGAACTGGGCATGGCGGCATATGCCCAGTTCCATCCCCAGTACCACAAAAGTGTGGGGGGGGATGTTGGTATTGGTCATATGTAGTATTATTCATTCTTCAGATAAATGTAAATTCAAATGAGAGCAAGAATGGCTCAAATTTAAAATTTTAATAATATCCAATTTTGATGAAGATGTGGGCCTGATGAAAGAATGTTGCTGATGGCTCTGCATCTGTTTTTGTTTGTTTTTCTTTTTTTGAGACAAGGTCTTGCTGTGTAATGCAGGCTGGCCTTGAGTTCACTATGTAGCCCAGGATGGCCTCACACTCGCAGTGATCCTCCTGCCTCAGCCTCCCTAGTGCTGGGATGATGGGCATGGACCACCATGCCTGGCAGGCCTGCCATTTTGGACATGTTCTGGCAGTTTCCATTAAAACTAAACATGCCTGCTCTATGACCCAGTAATTCCACATCCAAGTATTTGTTCAAGAGATACAAATATGTATAGTCACAGAGAGACTTTTACAAGGATGACCACACCCCAGCCCAACTGTGAGAAAAGCAAATCCCTGTGGAGGGACAGTCTACAAAATACCTGACCGGTATTCCTCAAAACTGCAAAGTTCGTCAAGATAAAGTCTGAGAGGTTACCACAGCCGAGCGGAGCCTGAAGACACACACTGACTAATGACAGCCAGGGACAGGCAAGGACGTTGGCTGAAAACTGAGGCCGTCTGAATACTGGGACATTACAATGTGTCAGTATCTGTTCATAAATTGTAAAAAATGTACCATATTCACCGTAAGATGTTGATGAAGAGGCAATTGATTATAGACTCAATATTGAGTATAGACCGTTTAGGAACTTTCTCCCCTGTCTTCACAATTTGTCTGTAAATCTAAGATTTGTCTAAAATTTAACAGTTTTTTTATTTGAAAAGAAATATCATAGTAGCTTTATTCATAATATACCAGACTGGAAACAGCTAGATAACCCCCTGCAGAAGAATGGGTAAGTACTGGTATATTTATGTGGTGGAATACTATTTAATAATAAAAAAGAAAGAATCCCTGATAAATGCCACTGAATGGCTGTGTCTCAAAAACATTATGTTGAGTGAAAGAAGGTTCAGGTAAAAGAAACTGTAACATATGTCTGTGTGGTCTCCTTTTTTAAAGTTCTAGAATGGCCTAAACTAATCCATGATAGAAAAAGATATTGGCTAGGAAGGGATACAAAGGAACTTTTCTGGGGTAATGTTCTGTATCTTAACAGGGATTTGCATTATTAGGGTAGGCACTTTTATTTTATTTTATTTATTTTCTGAGATAGGGTCTCACTATGTAGTTCAAGCTGGCCTTGAACTCACTGTGTATCCCAGGCTTTCCCTGAACTGACAGCAACCCTCCTACTTCAGCCTCCTGAGTGCTGGGATTACAGGTATATGCCACCATGCCCAGTAAGGTAGACTTTTTTTCTTTAAGGGGAATAGACTCTTTTAAAAAGTCATTTAATTATACACTATCTGTGCATTTCACTGCATACTTTACTCTGAAATCTTGCAAAACATGGAATTCTAATTACTATTCTTGCTAAAGTCTTAGGAGGGGAGCTCAAGGGTCTGCACCTTCTGACATGCACTGACAAGATGGATGGCCCAGTGGACGGATGGAGTAAGGGATAGATGGAAAGTTGTGATAGAACTGAAACATGTAACTCAAAACGTACAATAGATGACATGAAAGGGAAAGAAACTCCTCAAAGGAAGGAACGACTGGGATGAGGGAAAGAAGAAAAAAGAAAGAAGGAAGGCAATATATATATTCACATATATATATGAATAGCTGGGATAGTTGTACTGCTGATGTCTGATGGTATCTTGAAAGGAACAGTTAATGCTTAAGATGTATTCTGACCAATTTTGCACGCTTGTATCTGGTAATCTGAGCACCTGATTTGAAGACAACAATATGCAATGGAACAACCACTGGTGAGTTCCTACCATCTTGTCTAGAGAAACTCTGTATTATCTCTAAGGTTTTATCTAATAATTACTTTTTTATTCCTTTAATGGTTTGAGCAATCTTCCATTCTTTTTTATCTTATTTATTTATTTATGAATCTTCCATTCTTACATCTGGTAATCTGAGCAGCGTAGTTGAAGATAATAATATGTAATACAACAACCACTGTTAATTCCTATCATTTTGTTTTGAAACCCTGTATCACTTTTAAAGTTCTTGCTTTGTTTTGTTTATGTTTGTGATGTTGGTATGCTCCTATTGTTCTCTTTTTTACCAGTCTCTTTAAAATAAAAAAGAAAGAACAGAAATATGTAGTATAATGTCATTAGAGAATCTAGTGGAGGTAAGGAGTGTTCTCTGTACACTTCTTTTAACTTTTCTTTCTGTGTGTTTGAAAGTGTTCATAATAAAATACTTGGAAGGGAAGCTGGGCGTGGTGGCACATACCTGTAACACCAGCTACTCCCGGGGCTCAGCCACCCTGGGCACATAGCAAGACCCTGTCTCAAAAAAAAATATTTGTATATGTTGGGGGAGGAGAATAAAGACTATCTGAAGTTCTTTCGGGACCCACACCTTGCTCCTTGCTGGTGGTGGAAGTAGATCTCTGGCAGACAGTTCCGCATCACTGATTCTTCTCACTCTCCTTCAGGTGCTTTTTGGGGACAGCACAGAGGAAGTGGGGTCCTGCTCTAAAGGAGAAATTTTGCCGTGCAGTTTGCCAAGATGGTACCCTTATTTGGAAAGCTTAAATCTGGAAATGTCCCCTAAGGAGCTAATATTGTAACCACATCCTTTCTTTTCAGATATCCAACCAAACGCGGAGCTGAAGAGCTCTGAGGAGCAGCCCATGTCCACAGGTAATGCCAGGCCTTCCCTCTCTGGAAACTACCTCGACTGGAAGTGCCAAAGAAAGAGGCGTGTGTTCATGCTGGTTGCAGTACAAATGCTATGTCCTTAAAATATATGCTTGGTTTTTGCTGACAAAAGAAAATAACTCATCCATTTAGATCATATATATAGTCTTTGGCATCATAGGGCCAAACTACACTCTACTTAATGTTGATCATTGCTTCTTTTTATCTTTTTTTTTAATTCTTCAATTAATTGGTCTTGATATTCAGTAATATAGTAGCTTAGATCTGAATGGTCTGTGCTTCATTCAAGAACAACGGTTGGGAAATATTTTTGTAAAGGGCCACATCAGGAATATTTTAGAATTTGGAGGCCACATTGGGTCTTGGTTCACTTGTAGTTTTTAAATATAAAATGAAAACTGTAAAAACCGTTCTTGTCTCCTGGGCCCATGCACTAGTTTATTTTATTTATTTATTTATTTATTTTTTGAGACAAGGTCTCGCTATGAAGTTCAGGCTGGCCTTGAGCTCACTTTGTGGCCCAGGCTGACCTCGAATTCACAATGATCCTCCTGCCTCAGCCTTCCGAGTGCTGGGATTACAGGCTAATTCACTTTGAAACTTACATTGTATTATAAAATATAATCCTTAAGTGCCTTTTTGTGTTACTGTGAGCTGTAATCTCATATTTACCTGACCCCAAACCTCATATTAATTATTCAGGTGTACTCTGAATTTTTGTCATCTCAGGGTTGAGAAAAGTGAACTGCTGTTCACACAAGATTGTGTTCAGGGTGGGATGGCCATAGACAACCACGTTCAGAACCCTACTTTAGAGTTTGTAGGTGGTACATTATAATATGCAGAAGTTAGAATCTTTCAGTATTTGTAAGTCAAAAAGGAGTCTACAGTGACTGCATTTTTGTGGCCTCTTGGTTATGGATTTTATGAAATGTTTTTCCATTTCATCCCGCATTCCAGGAGAGTTCTGCTCCATGTGTTGTTATTGGGCCACTGCCAGGTTCAGAGTCACCCCTCACCTCTCACTTCAGCCCAGTTTAAATACCATAGGACTTGGTGTGGTTTTTTATTTTTCTTCCTGTACTGGGGATTGAATCAGGGCCTTGAGCATACTAGGCAAGTGCTCTACCACTGAGCTGCTCCCCCAGCTTGTGATTCTGTGTCTTTGACTAATTGCGACTTCATAGGTATTCAGTAAGTATTTTATTGGGTATTAGGAAGGGGGTTGATAGAAAGTAACCTCTCAGTTCGTTTCTTCTGTCATCGCCTTTCTGTTATGCTTATGTATAAAAATAATTCCAGTTATACTGTTCCTTTTCTCCTACTTGTAACATTAACAATGTTTATTGTACAAAATTATGCTTCCCTTAAACCTGATTTTTAACAAGCTTGCCATTTCATAAGCAGCCTTCGTGTTCTCCTCCCTTTCCTTTATGAGCGCCCATAACACCTCTCTCCTTCCACCCCGAGCCTTTCTTGCATCGTGGTTGAGGGCTTCCCTTCTCTGTGTCTACAAAGTGTAAGCCTCTTGCGCAGAGGTAGGATGACTTACTCCTATCTACGACCTCACCAGCACTTACAGTGTTCAAAGGAAGCAAGGACCTTGGGGTATGTTTTCCACAGCCACATTTATAATGTGAGCAGGAAGGGAGAATAGGATCTGGAATATAGATGCTCACAGGCTTTCTCTTAGGAAAGCATCTTTCGCAAATTGGGGTGTCCAATGTTTTCCAGCTCAGTATTTTCTTGTTATATGTTCATACTTCTTAGATACTAAGTAGCAGCGGCAGCCTGCTGCATATCATGAGCTATGCCAATGGAGAAAGCGATGCTATCCACAAGGGATGTGAGTACAGTTTAACTCAGGTCAAAGAACTGTTCAAGAAAGCTGGGTATAAGGGAGGGATGCGGGAACCTTGGGCGTGTTTCTAACTGTCAAGAGTTTTCACATATATCTCTTTGGGTGTATGTGAAGGGCAAAGTGATCATCACTAAGGGATTATTTGAAGCCAGACTTGGGCTGGGGTTGTAGCTCAGCAGCACAAGCACCTGCCTGGTAAGCATAAGGTCCTGAGTTCAATTCCAGGTACCAAAAAAAAAAAAAAAAAAAGACATAAATAAATATAAGGAATTTAGTTTGCAAAAATAAATAAATAAATAAAAGTGTGCTTAATGTGTTTATAAAAATCCTTCGACTGAGTTCTTTTTGCCTTTCAGAAGGTTCGGCAGCTTTGAGTGACTACAATTTAATCAAACCTCCTGATATGGAAAACGTGGACGGTGCGGAAGCCCCAGCCAATGAAGATGAAGACCTAGGAGGTGAGCCACAGTGTACAGACTGAAGCCCAGTGGTTAGAGATACGGCTAGGAGGAAGGCAGCCCTCCACAGAGAGCTTGCACTCGTGGCCCAGTGAAAAGCTTTTCTGATTTGTCCCATTCACAAAAAGTTGCATTTAGTAGTTGTTGCCAGATGTGAGCAAATGTAGAGACGTGAAGACACCAGTTCAGTGATCAAGTTCTATTAACTTCACTTTCCGAGTGTTCATTTTACTCTTTTCCATTATAAAACTAATAACATATATTCATCATGGAAAGTCTGTTTGGGCTGTTTTCCAACACCAGCAGCCAGTGCGCCAGTTCTCCAGGTACTCACGGGGTGCCCAGCAATTTAGTTCACTTTGGTACTGATGCCCAGTGTTGTGCAGGCCTCACGGGGTGAAGGCTCAGTCCCCCAAGGCTGTAGACCCCAGGCTTACGCTCCAGGCCCCCAGTCTGACTTGGCTGCCAAGTGGAGGGTTCCTTAATCCACTAGTATGAATGGCAGGACTTGTTACAATACCCGTGTATCCAGTCCTTTACTCTCAGCTACTATTTCTCTCCAGCTTTTCCACCTTTGACAGAAACACCAGGCCTGGCTACTGTGCTGGACTAGATCATGTGCAGCAATCCCTGCTTTGCAAGCCCCGAGTACTCTGTCCACTTCCACACATGCAGGGTAAAGCGACACAAGGAGAAAATTAGGGGGCAGTTTTGCCAGATGGGGTTAGGTCTTTGGGAATTCTAATACAAAGATTTTAAACCATAGTTACAGCTTCTTGCTTAGAAATCGTCCCTGCTTCTGGTACCTGTAGTTGTGATCCTGGTCCTGCAACTACTGCATCTGGCAGGAAACAGAAAGTTCAGATGCTGTGTGGGAGGAAAAATAAGGAGTTGTCAGCTGGGCATGGTGGCTCACACCTGTGATCCCAGGACTCTGAGAGGCTGAGGCAGGAGGATCATAAGGTCAAGCCTGGAGTGGGCAACTTAGTGACATAGGTAGACCCTGTCTAAAAATAAAAAGGAGGCTGGGGATATATTAGGGAAGGGCCTGAATTCATCCCCCAGTATGGCACAGAGAGAGAGAGAGAGAGAGAGAGAGAGAGAGAGAGAGAGAGAGGGAATCATACAGCATTCTCTCCCTTGGGAAGAACTGCGTAGTCATACCAGCATTCTCTACCACCCCTGTCTCCCTAGATTCATCAAAAACCAAAGGAATCTGCTGAGCAGGGACACTCCCTTAGCTCATATAAGTGTGAGCACACACTTGTGAAAATGTGTAAGCCAGCCTTTCATGCCTGCATCTTGCCTTGTTTCAAATGCCCACTGTAGTTCCCTCTCAGACTGTTACTGAAGAGATGATCTCTTTGCTCATTTGAAATTATGGCTGTAAACAATGTTCCTTGGTGAATGTGACTTAGCAATACACACTGGTGCAGTGCTCTGCTGTCCGGTTTTCTGTGATACTCCTCCATGTGCAGAGCTCCACCAGAGTCAAGTCTGTCCTGGCCAGAACCCACTAGTAGCCCCTACAGCTCCTGGTATCATACTCCTGTGCAGGCCCTCCTGCCTGGGAACCTTCCTGGTCTCCTGTGAGTCTCTGTCTCTCTTGTTGTAGGATAGTTTGTGCCTCAGGAGGTGCCAGACGAGTACATCGAAATCCAGCCCATCTCCTGCATTGCTGCCATATCCCCCATCGTCACCACTCCTTTCCTAGACCCCGTGGTCACTGTGATATCCACTCATTAGCTCCAGGCACCTTTTGAACCCAGAAGGGGATTCTGTTACTTTAATGCCCCCTCAGATTCCCATAGTGGCTTCCATGGGTCTGTGCCCCATGTGAGGATCTCCTTGATAAACGAAGTTGCTGTTGTCCTCTGCCTGACCCTACGGTTAGGTATTGGCCATTGCCCGTGACCTACTGAGTAGAAAAACAGACATTGTTTGGTTCAGTTCTTCCATCGCTGCAGGAAAACAGTAGGTAATTCAGCCAGCGAGTGTGATTTGTCTTTACCTTCTCCAGGGAGAGTCTTTCAAACAGGATAACTTCACTTTGCTCCTGTCTGTGTTTGTCTAGTTGGTACCCATGCATCCCAGGGCTGTTATATTAACTGTATTTTCTGCATTCCTAGTATTCTGGAATTTAGAGACTTAGAGGCCCTGGGAGAGATTGGTTTTCCCAGGGCTGACCGTTTCTTAGAGATAGCAAAGGTCTCGGTTGGGTGGGGGCTCTTCATATACAAACCAACAATCCCAACTCTGTGCCTCCAGTCTTACACCAAGCCAGTACTTCCTCGGCCCTAACTCATCCTGTGGCCTGGTGCTGGGAAGTGGAGACCATCCCGGGCTCCCCAGCCCAGCAGGATTGTTCACAGTAGCCTGTGCTAACCCGCTTACCCTCCCCTGCCTCAACTTTCCCATGGAGGCCCCAGTAAAGGCTCGGGCCTGAGCTTCATCCTATCCTCCTTTGTACCACCTGACCAAGCCAAGCACCTTCACCAGTGACCTTGCATGGCAGATGAGGTTAGTGACCCCTCTCTGGGTCCTGTGAGTATGATAGACTTCTTTCTTCCAAGTCTCATTTTCTCTGCGGCTGCACTGACTGTACCGTACCATAGCCAACACGTACCTTCTTAGACAACACCTAAGTGATGGAATTCACCATGACCTGGTAACGGGCATATTCAGTGGGCAAATATCCTGACTATCAGAAAGCCAGTGCCACATGGATTGGCTGCTTCATTTGGGGTGTTCCACTTGGCATTTTTGAGTAGAGTTGGAGAGTCCCCTTGTGAGGATAAGTAGAACCTATTGTGGCTTTTCCCTGCTAGTACTGTGGCTTTCTTCCCCCTACTGAGATTGAACCCAGGGCCTTTGCACTGAGCTACATCCCTATCCCTTTTAAAATTTTTTTATTTTTAAGATGGGGTCTTGCTAAGTCACTAAATTGCCCAGGCTGGGCTTGAGACTGTGATCCTCCTAGCTCAGCTTCCTAGACTTTTGGGATTATAGCCATGTGTCACCATGGCCAAAGTTATAGCAGTCTTTATCCAGCCCATCAGGAATAACTTCTTATGTGCCTGGATAGTGCATAACTATCTGTGATTGTTCTGTAGTGAGCTATGTCCAGTATCAACCCAACCATGCTCTTCCACTCTGCAGAATTTAAAAACCAAGATGCAGGGGCCAGGGGTTTAGCTCAGCGGCATAGCACCTGCCTGGCAAGCGCGAGGTCATGAGTTCAATTCCTGGTGCCAGAGAAAACAAAACAAAAACCAAAACCAAAACAAAAAAAATCCAAAAACCAAGATACAAGGCTAAATCTGGTTCAGCAGGAGGGCACACACTTAGCGTGCATCCTTAGTTTCCATCCCCACTGCCACAAAAAGAAAATAAAAAAACAAAGATACTGCCTCTAGATTACTTATTTTCAGGCCATTTTTAGTAAGGATTCTTCAGGAAGTTGATGACACTGATTTACAAAATAGTGTAATTTTTTTCATGCTGTACTTCCTGGCTTCAGCGGTTTCTTGGTTTTGTCCTCTCCTCCTTGGTGTCCAAAAATTGTATGGGTGTGCTCTGTTGTTCCCTTTAGGGAGAAATTTAGGGACAGCCTTGAGTCTAATTTCCACAGCTCAGCCAACTGGAATCTGATCATGGTCCATCATCAAGGTCTGACCTAGCGCTCTTACTTTCATTTTAGCTATTACAGCTAGTAACCAAAGATATTTCTGGTAAGTGCCAGGTCCTGAGTTCAATTCCCAGTACCCCACCCTCAAAAAAGTCAAAACCACAGATATTTCATCTTTTTCCTATTAGTTTATATTTCCTTAGGCACCTTTGTGAACCAGCTCCCCAGGAAATGGTCCATTTCTGAATTCCACTGATAACCTTGACCTTTAGTAGCTCATCATAGCACAGCTGCTGCCCGCTCCAGACCATGAGTGGCTGTATGGCCAACCAGAACTCAAAGGTTCCTCAGCCCCTACCCTTTCACCCTTCTTCTTCCCATGCCACATGTTTGTGTGGGCCAAAGCTGCCCTAGTGCACCCCACTCCTGACACCAGCTCGGGTTTTGTTTTCCAACACTGACAACCAATTTTCCAGACACTTCAGTTTTCTGAAGTCCAACCACTCAATTCTGATGTTAATTCCTGGACTTGGTGCAGTCTTGGCAAATTAAGGGCTCCATCCTGTAAGTCTGCCCCCCTTCAGACATCAGCCCCAGCACCAGCCAGGCCCCTAGGTGACCGACACCTCTGGACAACCCAGACACTTTGAGAGGTTTCTGCAATGCCTCCGTTAAGTGTGATGATTTGCTAGAATAACTCAAAGAACTCAAGAAACCCCTTTATTTGCTATCACTGATTTATAAACGGCACAACTAGGAATGATCAGACACACAAGCTGTGTAGGAGGAGGGCAGGGCTCTTCCGTCCTCCATGCACACCACCCTCCCAGCTCCTCATGGGTCCCCACCTGGGAGCGCCCTGAATCTCACTGCTCACAAATCTCCAGCCCCCTCCTCCCCTACCCAGAGCCCAGTAGGTGGGGTCACAGTCCCAGCCCTTTCACTCCTTGGTCTTGCTGTTTCCCAGCCCCAACCTGAGACCACCCAGGGTCTCGGCCTGAGTCTGTCCAACAGCCAAGCCCAGGTGCTGTTGAAAGGGGCTGATCACGAGCACCAGACACACTCCTCTCACCAAGGAAATCCCAGGAGTTTGGGGAGCTCTGTGCCCTGAACGGGCAACAAAAACAAAGACCAAGCATGCTTTTGTATTGTACCACAGTTTGGAAAGTTTACCAAAATGGAAAGCAAAAGTAAAACCCACCTCTCTTCTACCACCCAAGGGTGTAGCGTTCTAGTAGCCGTATGGAATACTTGCAGGCTTTTCATATGTGTGTACGTGTGCGTGTGTGAATGTGCGAATTTTTTTTTTTTGCTACCAGGAATTGAACTGACAATCTTGCGCTTCCCAGGCAGGCGCTGGGCTGCTGAGCTT